ACTGATCTGTGCCTTCGTCTTCATGACCTCAAATTTCTTCGCCCTTTTCAGAATTGCAGTCGGTCTGATACTTCACTCCAGTTGCTCTGAAAGGAAGAAATTGAATAACAATGAAGAATCACTGAATTATTCGAAGTAAAGTGGCATCATTTGTCAAACAACAGCAACCAGCAATGTGCGATGCTCAAATGGTGAACATATTTCGAGAACATCGTTCTAGAGGCATAGAATCAAAATACCAAAAAATTAAACATAAATGTTGATGATATAATTTCGAATAAGCTTTACCAAATGCATCGAAATGTAATGTCGTCGAGAGTGATGAGAATGTACATGCGCAGTAACACAACATACCAACTACCGCACGAGAACATCGCATTGACAACAAATGAATGACGATTGAAAATATCAAAATATAGTGATGAGGCAATCACTGGCTGATCGACAGTGATCAATTGGTACGGCGACATCGACCAATTTCTGTAACCCACAGTGAAAAACATATATGAAGATGATCATGAACAAAAAACGATCAAACTGTGTACTTCATATAACTGTTTCGTGATATCAGACAATCCTATGCCCGCTGCATTATTTCTGCTGACTTCAACGAAAATGGGGAAGTCACATCGTCACCGGATAAACTCTTTCAGATCCACATGAGTGGTTTAAGACGATGTTGTCAAGGAGCTGCAACTGGATCCTTTTCATTGTCTGGGAATCTTTGCACACGAATAAAAATGATGATTTGAGTGCAAAAATCGCCTGCAATGAAAGTTTGTATTTCAATATAGTGGAAAGCAAAATCAGATAATTTTGAACATTCGCTCTGAAATTAAATCGCAGAAGAGGATATGTGGTATTTGCAATTAACCACTTATTCAAGAAGGATTTTTCCGGTCCTCTATCGCTCTGTCAATGAATCTTTGCATTCTCAGACTCCTCTGTTAAGGGAGAAGTTTTATCATCACTCAAAAATTATCCCCATCTAATTCAAACTGAACTTCTCACTACCCATAAGGAGCGAGTCAGAATATCGCCTGAATCACCTGTGCATAAGTGTTTCTGATGAGTCGTGAGTAAAATGGCCGCAAATTCGATGAAATATAATATCACCCATTTCCATGGATGCATCATAGAAATCTAATCGCGTGACCAAATGTCTAAACAGTAAAAAAAACTTTGCTTGTCACAATCTTCTGAACTAAATCTGTTTAATGTCATCTTACAATTAGTGATTTCTTTAATTTGATAAAATTTTTCATATTTTTTGTTCTTTTTAAGTACCTTTCCATGTCGCCATCACGTTCGCATATCAGTCCGCTTAACTTTTGGCCTTTTAGTGCATTATGCATTTTTATCCTTTCGAATCGCTGCCTTACGCCAATGAAATCTCAAATGTTCCTGATTTTTTTAAAGTCACGTTAATCATATGAACTACCATATGAATTAATCACGATCAAACTAAAAAATAAATTAAAGAATCGAATAAACGAATCCGGTCAGAATCACCCTCCGCAATGATATAGCTTCAGTAACCCGTTCATTATCCATAAAGAGAGGTTACAATCAATTTACTTATGCTCACCGAAAGAAACCCTACTGGATAGTATTGACCTGTTGTTTGGTAGAAGTGAAATGCATGCTAATACTAGCGGAAATGAATCCATACTGCACAACCTTCAGTTGGATTGCAATATAGGTGCAAAAAAATCGAAGCCAGTAACAAGAGTTTTGATGTTATGTGGAATGTTCTGAAGTAAAGAATTTGATGACTCCATTTGCATGCTCATGAATTGTGCACTTCCAGAATGTTGAACGTCTATTGAAAGCACTTTTTGTACTGTCACATTCTATTGAAAATCATTATTTCTCATTCCTCAAATAATATCATTTGTTCCAACAATAAGGTGTCAGTATAATAACGCATACAAATTATTTCAAGTCTCGAAAGACGGTGCGGTTCAATTTGAACACGCTAGATCGCACAAAAGAATGAGCGTCTTAATAATTTGAAATCATTTTTCGGGTTTCGTCTCAATCGCTGAAAAAAGTCAGTGGGTTGTGTATATAAATTCGACACTGACATCCACTAACCAGTTCACCTACTGCAGCTGAAATCACCTCGCAAATGAAATCATCGACCGTCTTCGTCGTGGTGCTGGTATCTGTCATCGCCTGTGAGTTTTCAAGAGTTATTGAATCGAAGTTCGCTATTGATTTCATTTACGAGCGCAGTGACAATGGAACCTGATGACACAGTGCAGCCTGATATAAAATGTGATGCAATCTTCCTCCTTGCAGTGTCTTTTGGAAATATAAATTGTTGAACGGTTCTTGCAGATGCCGAGTCGAGTCCGTCAAACGGCGGTTGGTCAGGAAGTGGATTCAGCGTTTCTCAGGCCGGAAACAGCGTTTCTCAGGCCGGAAACAGCGTTTCTGAGGTCAGAAGCAGCGTTTCTCAGGCCAGAAGCAGCGTTTCCCAGGCCGGAAGCTTTGGCGGAACGGCATCAGCGAGTGGCTCGGGAGCACACGTTAAGATCATAGCTGACGGCACTCAAGAAAACCAAAATAACGAAAATCTTCAACCTATAGCATTTAGCAGCTGGACGATTCGCGAATGATTCATTCAAAACATTTTGAACGTTCCTAAAGGTGCATAGGATGACTGCTGAATAAATATTCTCTCTTCAATTCTTCATACTTCGTTCCAAACAAATGACTGTAAACAATATTGCATTCAAGCATACAATTGACATTTTGAAAATTGACCGCAGAAAACCCATTTATGAATGTGCCTCAAAAAATTGGATTTCCATGCTCATGGAGTGAAACACATGCAAGACTAATGATATTGGTACACCACACGGTTTCAAGCAATACTTTCCCTGGCGTAACGGGAATCGAAGCTGCGACATACCCATAAACGGTTGGGATTCTAACTCTGAGCTATCGCGGAGACCGTACAGTATCTGCCGAGTGGTTGTGTTAAGATCACAATCAGTTTCTCAATATGTTGTCCTCCGTGATATTAAAAAAGCGAACAAAAATAAGCCCCTTTAGAGTACACATGCATCGCATAATCCGAACAGGGACGGATGGATCGCTCAAGTCCGAATTTTTCCCAATACTGCCATTGTGCCAGTACGATAAGGTGTGACCTACAACGTTAGCATTTATATTCTCTATGATGGAAGACGTCTTGAAGTTTATGTTGAGGATATGACGGTTTCTGAATGCATCTCACTGATTCAAGAGGTATAAATATTGTCTCCACAACCGATCCAGAGTATCATGAATGTGTGACTGTATTGTTAAAGCCTTTTTTAAGTATTTGTTTTTGTTCTTCTTTTGCACCATTCAGTTTCTTTTTTTCGTTGTACATAGTGCTATTTTCTAGGGCAAGATTTTGCAAGAAGAAAGAAGGGATATAGACAACAAAACGTTTTAGTAAGAGATCGTGTTTATCGTGTTTCCCATGAGAGATCCGCAGTTCTATCCTGCATTCATCATGTGGGATAATCTCTTCGAGAGATACAAGCCTAACAATAAGGATTGACATTGATGAATGTCATTGACCTCAAAAAACTGGTAAACGTTCATTCAATCATGCTTTAGAGCGTTTTTTCTTCACCAATGTTAGTCTGTTCAATCGCTGCTTAATGATGTGCATTCAACGAGATTTTATTCAAATTTCTTACTGGACATTAACTCAACTGATGAAATGTTTAGAAAGTGCCACTGAACTGGAGAATCTGCTTCAGTTTTACTCAATTTCAGTCATCAAAGTTTTAGTTTTCAATGACATTCTCTTAGTTAGCTGATCCTTTGGGGAATTCGATGCGCAAAAATAGTGTTCAGCTAAACCGATATATTTTTGGCATGCTATTGCAGAAAGTGCTGAGATGAGTGCGCTTTAGCTGAGTGTTCATCGTTGATTCATTACACCTAACAGCTGTTTATTTCAACAACGAAATAAGAGTGTTTTATGGGAGGTGAATAAGCTCAGAAGTAGCTTACTTCTCTTTACTTTCTTGTTGCATGGTGGTTGCAGCTTATAGGCGAAATTTATGTAAACACTATCACTGATAAACCACTATCATCATTTCGATCGGCTGATTCTTCCAAAAGCTCAGTTGAGTTTGCAGAGAAAATTTAAGATTGCTGTTCAGTTTTCAGTTGAATTTCACTTGGTTGCATTTATTTGATCAATTGAAAATGCATTTATTCGTGACAATATTCGTCGTGTCTGTATTGTGTTTGCAAGTCATAATTGGTTCACAATCGAATTCTGTGAAGGATTATTTGCGAAAAATTTCCAAAGAATCAACTCCAACACCAGTGGTTCTATGGCATGGAATGGGTATGTTGCTAGAGTTGAGATTATTTATTGTTCTAGTCATTATTACTTTTTGCAACATTCTTTTGTTGCAATCAGAAAAGGCTAAATAAAATGTGATATTTCTTGTCGTGAATATTCTTGAACATGTTAAACTGTACTGCGACACTAGTAACAGTATTAATTGCATGGATTACTTGGATTGGTCGGGCTATCAAACGTTCGTAACGTTGCTGGCCACAGTGCATTTCCATTCGATCCAGTATTGATTTTTTTGTTGTGACTGTCTTTTTCGCTTGATTTTAGGCGATAGTTGCTGTAACCCAATATCTCTGGGATGGGTTAAAAAGTTACTGGAACGAGAAATTAAGGATATTTATGTGCATTCGCTCATGATTGGTGATAACTTTGTATCGGTTCGTATTTATTCTATTGTGTTGCTTTCAATTCGTCATCACACAATACAACATTCTTAATTAATTCTTCATTCTATTAACTTTTACCATGCGGCCTTAAGTTTTATCACTTCGTCAAAATTTATCATATATTTACCAAATGATCTGCGACCTTCAGTTGACTATCATCCGTTAAAGCAGTTCAGTGTGCACATTGCACCCGAATGATAATCGCTATTTTCATTCCATAATTTGATGTGATTCTTGCAAAATTTCAATACCTCTTTATTGCGTAAATCAATAAAGTCATTATTCCACGGAAACATTTAGGAATTGTCATAATTGCAGCGTATATGAAAACATAATAAAATCAGTCGATTTTTTCCTATAACATTTAGCATGCGATGTTCGATGGTCAATAAAATCACAGTCGATCAAAGCGCGCTTTGAAGTTTTTTCATTGAGCTGACCGATTTTCGAACTTTTAATTTGAGAAGTGAATAAACCAACAAGCAGTCGACGTATAGATTTGATATTTACTGATCTCTGTTGAAGGATACGTTGCACGGTTATTTCGGCAACTTGAATGATGAAATTGATGAGGCGTGCAGTAAAATCGCTAATGATGTTCATCTGAAGGATGGTTACAACGCGATCGGTTTCTCTCAAGGAGGCTTATTTCTGTAAGTTCTAGTTTTCGCTTGATTTCTGCTAATAGTAAAGTTATGAGAGAGCATTTGTATTGTGCGTTTTTTTATTCGAATGCATGACCACGGTTGTTTTGAATTCAAGCTTAGCACTTGTACTGAAGGCATCCTCTGTTTTGCGAAAGATCATGACACATTACCGGGCGATTCCTTCCGCAGTAGACAACCAACATCGATTATAATGACATAATTATCTTCAGTGAAAGATTCTGCCATCTCCTTACACTCTTTCACCCTTAATAATTAGTTGAGATTTTTGCAAATTTTCAAGATGGTCTACCATTTTAAGTTCAATGAAGTTCTTAGGCTTATTCTTTCATCAGTTTAATCAACTAGTTATGTTCTATTTGATTGTGCAATGAAACTTGTATTCAACCATTTCGCTGCTTTTAAGACGTGGTCTTGCCCAACGTTGTTCAACCCCGCCAATGAAGAATTTAATTTCAATTGGTGGACCTCAACAAGGCATTTATGGTTTACCGTATTGTCCTGGAAACGTGACGATTTGTGATACCGTGAGGCATCTTCTCGATTGGGGTGCTTATGCTGGTTTTGTACAGAGAAGGTCACAGTTTCCTCCGTTTTTTAGCATTCATTATGAAGGCAAACACCATCAGTCATTTTGAAGTGATAACCTCAAAGGAATGGGCAGTCGATGATTTTATCAGATTTCAATGAGATATTCAGACGTAGCATAAAGATCTTGATGAAATCAAATGAATATTCATGGTCAATGAAATTTCAGTTCTGTTCAAGCACAGTATTGGCATGATCCCACGGACGCGGCCACATATCGAGAAGCTAGTATCTTTCTGGCTGATATAAATGCCGAAAATGTTACTGATTATAATTCTTGATTTTATAAGTTCGCGGCTATATTACTAGTCAGTTTGAGTAACCGATACGAAACAGGGCTAATCAGTTCGACAATGCTGTAGAAATTGGATAATTTATGTGAAATTATTTCAATTCATTGCATGTTTCAAGCTCCTTAAAGGCTAAGTGAAATTATTCAATTAATCAGCCTCGAGCGAAACCTGCTCCCGTGACTGAAACGGAAACCTTTAGTGCACAGTTCCAGATTCAGTTAAATCGTAATGTATTGAATTTTAGGCTGTTAACCAAACTTATGTGGATAATCTGAAAAAGTTGAATAACTTAGTGCTCATCAAATTCAACAATGACTCAATGATTGTACCTAAAGAATCAGAGGTAATGATTTGCCTTGTTTCCTTAATGGCATCGAATATTGATGAAGTTCTTGTTGCATCTGTGTTATTATCATAATTCCATTGTTACCTATCACCACCTTAACCTACTCGTGAACTTTGAACAATTTTCAATGATCCAGTATCAATATTTGATGGATTGTTGGACTGTATTCGAGTTATTATTACTAACAGTACTATTGTACAAAAAATTTCAGTGGTTTGGATATTACAAGGATGGTGATACATCGAGCATCATTCCGTTGGAGGAATCGAAACTGTTTACTGAGGTACTTGACATATTATCACTTTAAACCCTCTCAACCAGTCTGAATAACTATCGAAGCATTAAAGACGAGTGAAATCAATCTTTTCTTGAGATTATTTTTGGTTTGTATAAAATGAGCGTATTGTACTAAACGTTTCGTTTAATTTCCAGGACAGAATTGGATTGAAAGCGATGAAAGACAGTGGTAAAGTGCAATTCTTGGCAATGAATGGAGATCATCTCGAAATACCTGAATCCGTTTTTATCGATGAAATCATTAATAAATTTTTGAAATAAACATTTTCACTTGCATTTCTCATTGCTGAATGCAAATTGTACAGAATTTTAAAAGCTTACAGTGATTTTCACCGTTTCATACTTGGCATTAATCATGTTTCAAAAGTTCTGAATCAACTACCTGAAGTATGGATTTTAAAATTCCACGATTCTAGCACGCAAATATTCTGTTATTCTCTCTTTCCTTCACCCAACAAATAAAACGTTCAAGTGAGCCGGCATTGCCACTTTGGACAATTCATATAAATGTGGACCTTCACAGTCGCTTTCGAATCGGTGATAGGAAGGGAACAGATGAATGAGGTTTTATAGTTCGATTAGAATAAATGAAAA